TGAGCCGCTCAGAACAATGGTGCCAGGCTCTGACTTCCAGGGCTGCTGAACCTACGCTTGCTGATCATTCTGCAATGTCTTATTTCCTTTCAGATTTTAGTATATTATTTGCACAAAGACACCACGTTCACTGATAGTTTAAGAGGCAGCAGTTCAGGGAGAGCCCTGTCCTCCCTGCTCAGAGCTGGTTTTTACTGTTTCTTTCCCTCTAGGACTGTTGAAGCTGTACAAGTGCAAGAAAGATGCCAGTTTCGCATTCCATTTGAAAATTATTTTAATACTATAAAATTCATTTGTTCACATATTTTGTACAAAAGATGAGTTGTTTTCTCTTAATTACAGGAGAATCATTTCAATCTTGAAATTTCAGCTAAGTAGGTCCAAAACAAAACAAGACTGGGTTCTACTGGTTCTGGAGGGTCACAACACAGCTCACCCAAGGTCTCTTTCCAGTTTGGCTCTCATAGTTATGGACCACCTTGATGGAAAATACCCCACATCATTGACTCTTCGGAGGCTTGTAGTGAATTCGGCAACGTTCATTAAATACCTGAGGCACCAAAACAGAAGAGCAAAAGCAAATCAGCCCTCCTCCAGGAGATGAGCAAAACTTCAGGCAACTCCCTCTTCACTTAGCACCCATCTTAAGCTACCCAACCCTGCTGTACCAATAAATGGCACTTACCAAAGCATCTGTCTCCATTCACCTTCTCTCCTGGCTTTGGTGAATCCAAAGTTTGCAGCCTGATGCTGTGGGACTGCCCAGCACTACAGGTGTTCTCCCTCAGATAAGCAGGGCTCATAATCCTGGTAGTCTGTTATCACCAAAGATGCTGATGCCTTTTTTCTTTTTCAATTTTTTGGTTTACTTTAAAAGAGGGGGGTGGGAAATCACCAGTGGAAGGCTCCTGACCAGCTGTCTGTTCTGTTAAGTTCACTCTGGCATTCAAATCTGGACACTGTACTCTTCTCCTTCCTGAGCAAATGCATTTTACATTGTCATGACAAGTAAGAAGAGGTGCAAGGGCTCCTGGAAGCCACGTTCACACTTTCAGTTATTTGAGCACAGGTCCTGATGCTGCCTATGCAAAGGGCACACATGCTCTTGCCTCACTCACCTCTGGCACCTTCTCTGAGTAAAATTTAGCACACAGAACTAGAGACTGAAGATCACATTTACTTAGCTTGAACTCTGGGCTTTATGAAGCAGACTGCTTACACTAAGGAGGGCCAATAAATGTGACTATTTAAAGTCAGGCAGTCTGAATCGAAAGCACAACACACAGGCTCACATCAAAGTTACAGGCGCTCTGTACAAGCAATCTACTTACTGTTTTGGCTCATAACTTTGTCCAGCACATGTCCTGAAAAACGACACAAGCACCACCTAGCACCAAGCTGAGGCACTGGCAGTTCCCAGCTCCCCTCCCAGCACTCCTGTTTTCCAAGCTGTCCAGGCCTTTCAGATCCAAATGCCCATGACTGTCAGGAGATGGGAGTTTTGTGAACTCTCCCACTGGCTTCACATGCAAAGTGAGTGGGACCGTGATTTTGGGGAAGCTATGTATCACTTCATATATATGCATTCTTTTAAACTGTATTTTCCTAGAATCTTCTACAGCTTATCTCCCTCTTCAGAGTTCAGAACCTATGGCAACTTCAGCAGAAGTGGTATGGAGCATGCATTAGCATCGATTCTTAATTTTTGAGTCATTTTCAACTGATTTGCAAATGTATATTACGTTAAGAAATAGACACATATTGCAAACGGCTTCATACTGCAGAAAAACAAAAGCTGTGATACAGTTTCTTTCACACACACAGACAGCATGTCACATTATGTTACCACATGCAGTGGACACCTCTGGAACAGTGAAGAGCATGTACTGGTCTGAGATGAGTTAAGCAATAGAAGGAAACTGTAGAAATTAAGAGCCATAAAGGTTCTTATTCAGAAGCATTCAAATTAGTATTAAAATAAGCAAATTGCACCATTTTTGTCCATTGTCTGTCAAAGTGATTTGAAGGGTCACTGGGAATGCACTCTAAAACACTGTAAGGGTCTCTTGCATCAAAAAGCACACCAGCTTGCTTGCTATCATCCAACCTCTTAAAGCTTTTGTAACAGTAACTACACAGCCTATGGAAGGAAGATCAATACCACAATCTTACTAACACTGCCTCCTAACGTTAGGATCATTGACCCACAAATCTCAGTGTGTTACTCAGGCCATTTAACTTCATTGGGCTCCTATGAAGTGCTATTCTCATTTTTCAGACAGGAAACCTTAGCATTCATGTTACTACGCAGAAGTTTGATTTGGATGTCTTTTACATATTAATATAATACACTTCTACGATAAACTCCAGTGGGGAGGTGCTATACCAGAGACTGATGGAAGTGTCTTGTTTTGGAAGCCAATTCCTTGTTTGGTATCAGCCAAACAAAGTTCTGCTGCATGCATTTCTATAAAGCAGCATCTTTCTATATGCCACTTTTGCTACAGCTACCCAGAGTAGGGTTGGAGAATACCTGTTTCCTAGTGTCCTAGGTTCAGCTACAGCAGTCATTTTTTCTCCTGCTTAGTAGCTGGTGCAGTGCTGTGTTTTTGACTTTCAGTCTGGGAACAACGCTGATAACACCGATGTTTTTAGTTGTTGCTAAGTAATGTTTACTCTGACCAAGGACTTCTCTCAGTCTCATGCTCTGCCAGGGAGGAGGGGAAGCCAGGAGGAAGCAGAGACAGGACACCTGACCCAAACTGGCCAAAGGGGTATTCCATACCACAGCACATCATGCCCAGTATAGAAACTGGGGAGAGTTAGCCGGAAGGGGCAGACTGCTACTCGGGTCAGGCTGGGTATCGGTCGGCGGGTGGTGAGCGGTTGTGTCCTCTCCCCTTGTTATTTCTCTTATCATTATTATTGGTAGCAGTAGTGGTTTGTATTATACCTCAGTTACTGGACTGCTGCTATCTCAACCCATGAGAATTACATTCCTCCGATTCTCCTCCCCATCCCTGCGGGAGCGGGGGGAGGAGGAAAAAAGGGGGGAGTGAGAGAGCAGCTGCGTGGTTCCAAGTTGCCAGCTGGGCTTGAACCATGACACCTAGTCGGATTTTTCCAGTCAGTTTTCAGTTGGTTAGGGTTAATGTAAATACATAAGGGTACTTTCCAACTAGAAGTCTGCAACAGTAAAAAAGAGTGGAGGTCCTCACCTGCAAACCAATAACCACTTCCATGTTACAAATTGCATTCGGTCCACAACTATGACTGGTTCTAATCCTTCAGTGACTGTTTTTACAGGCAGCTAAATAAGATATTTCTGCCTGTATTCAGAGGGAGACAAAAATCCTTTTTGCATTTGTAGCGGGAAAGAGGTTCTCTGTACAGTACTGAAAGCTCTGAAAAACTACAACAAACCAGAAGAGGATGCTAGACATGAAACGCTGCAGTGACAGAACAGAGCCACCTCAGAATTTAAGCTCAGTGTCAAGATCACCTTATAACAAGACAGCATCTGGGGCCATCAATCCAGAGGATGATGTGCCCCCTCTGTTGACACAGGAGAGCAATAGCAAGCCTGCCCTTTGCACCAGGGAGCACGAAAAGCTCCATCAGGAAAAGGTCAACTTCTACAGCGCCCCCCCTCCTCTGGCCTCTGCTGAGAAGAAACATCAATACCACACAGCCAAATCTGAAAGACTCATCTCTCTGACACTGCTGGAGGCCCAACAAAGCTTTTCAGACAGTCCACCATGGAAAAGTCTACAAAGTACTTCACCATTGGGCAAGGACGGGAAAGGGATCTGCACAGGGAATACTCCACCGTCCCTCCTCCCCTCTAAATCAGATGCTTTTCTTTCCTTTGCAGTGCAGCCACTTTGATCTTTGTATCCCAGAGCTGGGGAAATATCTGGCCTGAAACATTTCCCCCAGCACTGCCCTCACCTATTTCTAATAAACCTGCCACATAAGGCACTAGTCCCACACTTCCAGTGCAGGGCTTTCTGATGGGACAGAACATCATCACTATTTTAAATGACTGAGTACCTTCCAGCTTCTGTCGTTTACCACTTCTTCCACATTCAGCTCCGACTGCATCAATTTCAACTGCAGAAACAGATAAAGAGGTTACTGTCAAACAGTAAACTGTAGTCTTCAGTATTTACTACCACTGCAACTTTCTACATCTGCAGCCTTGAGCTGTCACTCTTCCACACATGCATTATTAGTGGAAGCTGGCAGCAAAGCTAGGAGTGAGCACAGGTCTCAGATTCCAGATTTAGAATTAAGATCATAAAGAGATCCTCTCCACCTCCTTTGCTGTTTACTCTGTGTACTGACCAAAAAAGGGCCTACAACAACAGACCATGTATGTTCATGCTATATGAACCAGTTAATACATTATGTGATCACAGTAGGACAAATCAGGCTTACACAGATGCAAAAGCTCCAGCAAGAACTACAATATACAGTTCTTGAACACTCGCCATAAGAAATTTAAGACTCTCTTTGATTTGCACTCATCAGAAAGCCCAAGGTGCAGGTGTGACAGTCGTGTTCAGGTCACCTGCAGTAATTTGACCCTGACACGAGGCCCTGAAGCAAGAGATTTAAGAACCATCTGCCATTTTTTACAGTTTGGATGCATTTTTGTTGGAGTCACAACAAACTAAGGATCAGCATTTATCCATTTTAAACACATGGCTCCAGTTAGAGATGGTGAACAGATGCAAACCAAGACAGAAATCCCATCAAAAACATTCCAAGTAAGATGTCCAGACACACACAAATACTACAGCTGTTGGATGCACCTTTACCTCCTCAATAGGACTTCAAACTGTTTGAAATAACAATACAGAATCCACAGAGTGACTAGATGACCCAGATTAGTCTTTACAGAAGAACCACTGAGAAGATTCTTAGCAGTTCAAAGAGAGGTTTTTCCTGCTACAGCATGTGAATAGGTTTACAATCATCTTGACTGCAACATTAACTGCATTTGACACCAAGCCTAAGCAAAAATATTTTAGCCTTTTCCTTAGAGTTGCAGAACTGAACAGCAATATAGTGTCAATCAACATGGCTATGTTGCTTTTAAAACATAATCTGACATTTTGTCCTGGGTTCAGCTGCAAGTTATTTTTCTCCTTCTTAGTAGCTGGTGCAGTGCTGTGTTTTTGACTTTCAGTCTGGGAACAACGCTGATAACACACCGATGTTCTAGTTATTGCTAAGTAATGCTTACCCCTAGCAAGGACTTTTCAGTCTCTCATGCTCTGGCAGTGACAAGGGGCTCAAGAAGCCAGGAGAAAGAGAGACAGGACACCTGACCCAAACTGGCCAAAGGGGTTTTCCATACCACAGCACGTCATGCCCAGTATAGAAACTGGGGGGAAGTTACCCGGAAGGCCCAGATTTCTGCTCAGGTCGGGCTGGGTATCGGTCAGCGGGTGATGAGCAATTGTATCCTCTCCCCTTGTTATTTCCCTTATCAGTATTATTACTGGTGGTAGCAGTAGTGGTTTGTATTATACCTTAATTACTGGACTGCTCTTATTCTCCTCCCTGTGGGAGCAGGGGGAGGAAGAAGGGGAGGGAGTGAGTAAGCAGCTGCATGGCTCCGAGTTACCGGCTGGGCTTGAACCATGACACGTTTTAACAACCTTTACTAATTCACTTGATAAAGCTGCTAATCATTATGCTGTTTGGTTTGGATTTCCAGGATTTATTTGGTTGGCTGTTTTCTGCTAATTCATTCAAGCAAACTAAGACGATAACAGATTAATACAATAATCAAATGATGTTTCAATGTAAGTAGATTAAAAGATTTAGCTGCTAGACTGACACTACTCCAAGTTTCCTTATTCAGTGACCTAGAAGTAATAATTTTGGATAAAGTCCTCCAATTTGTACCATTAGTAGGATGAGAAAAACATAAACGAGAAAGCAGATCTGTATTGCAACCAAGTGAATATATATTTGAAATGCATAATCTTAAATGTAGGATTTGTTCTGTCAAGATAGCTTATTGTAGTTGTAGAGAAAACACCACTCTCAGAGAACTAAGAAAAACCAAGAAGGGGGGGGGGGGGGAGATGCACCTCATAAAGTCCAAGTGAAAATTCATCTCATCAAAAGCTTTCCGGGATGTTTCCAAATCATGGATTGCTTTTAACATTTGAAATCACTTCCAACTGTCAACATTTCATCACTGCAATCCTCCCAGTGGTTTCAGTGATAGGTTCTTCGCTCAGTAACTAATATGGATGCTTGTTAGCAGTTCCCTAAGTGAGGCTTTAAGAATAAAAGCACTCACCTGCCACCTGGTTCTTTAAATCTGAGCTCATGACAGAGCACTTCTCTGAAGAGCACAAGAACAAACATTTCATTCACTCAGTGCCTGGGAAAAATCAGATGCTTGAGTTCAAATCATCCCCTCAGGAAGTTCTTTTACTACAGCTGCATCTGCATCCAACTGCTCTTTGAAAGCAGGGGCTAAAAGTCTTCTACTTCTCTTGGAAGTAGAGGGGTAACAGGGGAGGTTCAGATTAGATTATAAGGAAGAAGTTCTTTACTGTGAGGGTGGTGAGGTGCTGGCACAGGGTGCCCAGAGAAGTGGTAAATGCTCCATCCCTGGCAGTGTTCAAAGCTGGGTGGGACAGAGCCTTGGGCAACATGGTCTAGTGTGAGGTGTCCCTGCTCATGGCAGGGGGTTGGAACTGGATGATCTTAAGGTCCTTTCCAACCCAAACCATTCTGTGATTCTATGAGGTAGTTCAGCACCACAAAAGCAAAATTTTAGGACTGGTCTCTTCAACTTTTTTATTACTGCAGCAGGGAAAGCCACACCCAGCATTCAGGACCATATGTATGTATATGTAATGGTGGGATATCTGGCTGTTATGAGAAGAACTCATCCTTACACTGGAAATCCTGGTTATGACAGTCCTCAGCAGAGGAAGGCTCACTAAACTGTTGAACATAACACAAACCTACCCAGTGTAAGCAAAAAAAGAAAAAAACAATAAGCAAGCAGTCTTATTTGGTATGTGATGCAAGTATAAGGTGTGGAAAAGAAGTGCACACGAGCCATATGGAGCAAGTCTGGAAGAGAAATCAACAGAACAGTTCACATCCCTGCTAGTCTCCGCTCCTAGTAAAACGGCAGCACCCTTTTCCAAGTCTGGAAGAGAAATCAACAGAACAGTTCACATCCCGTCTAGTCTCCGCTCCTAGTAAACAGGCAGAACCCTTTGCCCTACAAAGCGGGGCGTGGAACACAGGCAAGAGCTTCGGTGGGATTCCCTTCACTTCTGATGCTCCATCTAGATCACCTCTGGGAAAGTACACCTTCCATCCAGAGGCCAGAAGGTTGAGAGGGTGTTTGCACATTAAAATTCCCTATGCAAACCTAGAAATCTCTCTCACACCATCAGAAGGTACTCCAAAAATTAATCCAAGAAATACAAAACAACAAAAAAGTCAGTTAAGTGGAATTCAAGGTTGCCTGGAAGCTCCTCTTAGAGGACAGGAATTCCATTTAATACAGCAAGCAAGAATAATGCTGCTTAGGGGGACAATGAAAAGGGACAGCTTCAAGGCTGCATAACTGTGTGGTGCAAGAGTCATACACAAAAGCAGTATTTCATTATCTTCTGGTGTTTGCATCATAGCACCCGTACTTGCTGTTTGCAGATACACTAGTTTTACAAGATCTCAAAAAGGAAAAACGAACCTTCAGGCACTTTAAAAAGACTAAGCAAGCCACAGGTCAGTTATATGCTAAGTGGTGTTAGTCAGTGAAGGTCAGAGCCCACCACGGGGAAGTATGTAAGTTTTTTCTATGGCATTTGTGTAACAGGATCTCAGAAAATGCTCCATTGGAGGATAAAAGCAGCTCTGTCTTGAGGGCAAGGGGAAACAGTTCTCCTATACCTAGCCAGCAAGAACCTTGGAAAAGACTGCCCAAGCCAGGATCCACTTCAGGTTCTCTCCATCACACTGGTCTTCCTGCTTGGGAAAGATACTCTCTTTTTCCTCTCTAAGTAATCTGTAAAAAGCTCCACCACTCACCTTTGTCTGCTCTTTCCTGAGTTGCTTTAATAACGCTGCGTCATCCTGGGCCTTTTCCCTCTCTTCTCTGAGAGTTTTCACTACGCTGGAAGTCTGAGCAATGCAGTTTTTGATGATTCTCTCTCTGTTGGTGTGAGCATCCATCAACTAAGTCGAGAGAGAAAGAAAGTCATAACTCAAAAGAGAATAAAATACTCCAAGTTACAAGTTAAAAGAAAGACTTTCTAAAGTCAAGGTATTGCTGTGCCTATAGAAAACCCCCTGACTCTACATTAGAAGCAACACTGCTTTTAGCAACAGGTAATAAGTTCATCAAAAGCCAAAGATACACATGAGCAGGAGTCTTGCAAAGACAGAAGTGGACAGGTCTAATACCATCCACTGAGGCCTGAAGTGCACCTCAAGTATCACTACTGCAGAACAAAAAAGCTCCCCGCATGGTTTTAAACTGAAGTAACTGTTACCCACATGCAGCTTAGATGCGTAGAGAAGTCAAGCATGGCAATTACGGGTACAGAAAGCACTGGTGAGGCTGCACCTCAAATCCTGTGTTCAGTTCTGGGCCCCTCACTACAACAGAGGTACTGAGTTGCTGAAGCAGGTCCAGAGAAGGGCTACAAAGCTGGTGAAGGGCCTGGAGCACAAGTCTGATGAGGAATGGCTGAGGGACCTGCGTAGTTTAGTCCGGAGAAGTCTCACGGGGGACCTTATCACTCCCTGCAGCTCCCTGACAGAAGGATGGAGCCAGGAGGGGGCTGGTCTCTTCTCCGTAGTAACAAGTGATGGGACAAGAGGAAACACCCTCAAGCTGCACCAGGGGAGGTTTAGATGGAGATGAGGAACAGTTCCTTCCCCAGAGGGTGCTCAGGCATTGGGCCAGGCTGCCCAGGGCAGTGCTGGAGTCACCATCCCTGCAAGTGTTCACACACCATGTAGACAAGGGAGGCCCTCAGTGACCCGACAGGATGGACTAAATGGTGAAGTTGGCGGTCCCAGGGTTGGGCTTGATGATCTTAAAGGTCTTTTCCAACCTACTTGATTCTATGATTCTAATATATCAAGGCAGTGATTTCCTTAGAAACTGGGGATGCTTTACAGGCCACTGCACGTAAAACATCCATAAGAGAGTGAAGAGTTGAAGGAGAGCACACTCACAGACTGGTACAGTTCTTTACACGTCTGGCTGGCATCAATCTTCCCCACAAAGGAAGCAGTTGGAATCGTAGTGTTTAATTCGTGGACGATTCTGTCGTCGATCGTCCTCATCACCCTGAGAAACTCCTGTATTTAAAAAAATAACAATAGTATTTGCTCATACACCTGAAAAAAACCTACTACAAAAAGCGTGCGTTAGAAGACGAAGTGGATTGCTTACAAACGGCAACAAAAAGCCCCCACCAAACGCACAATTCCTGCGTGCAGAAGCATGTGCTGCAAACCAACCAGTTTCCTCAGCAGCAAAGGCCAGAGCAGGGGGACGACAGAGCTGGTGAGCGCCGAGTAACGAGCACCCTCAGGCAACCCTCCCGCAGAGCCGCTGCCCAAGGCCCCATCCCCACCCGTCCACGCTTCCAGGCGGGAAACCGGGCACAACCTGCACCAAACCGGCAAACTTGGGATTAAAAATAAAGGAAACCCCTATTTTAGGGCGAGATATTTAAGGAACAGGGCAGCGACTACCCCCCTCCGCCGCCCCGGACGCTGCTCGCACCGCACGCGGGGCGCTTCGCTCTCCATTAAACAACGTGAGGGCGCGCACGGAGGCTCCACGCCCCGTCCCGGGGTCCCTTCTCGGGAGGGGGGTTCCCCT